ACCGTAGTACGTTAGGGTTTAGGGCTTCTTCTCCGAGCTGGACAATGCCCACAGAGGTTACTGAAAGGCTTCTACTATGTGAGGTTGGGAAACACAGAAGATGGAACTAAGTTGGGGATGTTGGGATGTCTCGTAGTCCTATGAATTACTAGCAGAGAGCACTAGTGTTTCGTAATGTGCTGACGACCCAGCTACTACACGACCGTTCCTGCTTACAACCAGGGTTTAACAGCCAAAGCCAAAGTGAAGTGCTGAATTACGAGCCTTACCGCTGAAATGCTGCAATGTCGCCGCAAACCCAAACCCTAAACCCCAAGCCGAAAGCCTAAACCTGTGTAGGAGGCTGGGGGACCTTGCAGGGGGCTACACTGGAAAGAACTTAACATGTTGTTGTGACGACATATGCAGCGATTTAGAACTTTCGGGGTCTATCTGTACACCAACAAGGTTGGTGGAATATGTTCTGGCTCTTCTTCTGGGTTTTGGGCCATCAATTTACCTACTTTGGGTACTTTGGGTGTCGGGGCAGGGGCTGATCCCTTGAGCAAGGTGCCCTGGTTTAGTGTTCTTGTTGACTGTTGAGTAGAAGTTGCTCAAACTACTACTTTGTTCCTGGTTAGCCAGGAATGGAGGAGTGAATCCTTATAGTAGTCCCTATATAACCCCCAATAGCGTAGTAGTTTGCCTTGTTGTTTTCCATTTTCGGCTAACCAGAGGTCAGCCTTGCCTCCAAAGTGGCTCAGTGCTGGCTGGAGGGCTTAGGGTGTAGGAGCTTGGGGCTTCGTTCTATGTACCTCCGTCGTTAGTTGACAATGAACCTGGGACCTACTGTATGATCGTTCCTTACCGAGACTTGTGTAGCATTTGAACTCTTCCAGAATCCGGATATACCCAAATTGCGCCCGAATAGGGAACCCTCTATGGTGAGGAGCCACCCGCATCCTGAACTATGAAAGAGTGGCCACACCGTGTGTTACGCTCCATGCTGATTTTGCTGCCTTAGCTGTAGCTGCAAAGAACAGCTGAGGACGTCCGAGAGACGCAACTGATCTTCAAGGCAATGTGCAAACGAGTTTCACGGGATTGCTCAGTTTGAACAGCCTCTGTAAAGCGTATGTAGCCAGCTAGCACCCCTAAAGCCCCTAAAGGTCCGGGGGAGGAGAAGGAATGCAGGCCTTCTGGGAAGAGGTGCCACCTCAAGCATCTAGGGGCATACAGAGTTCTGCGGTTTAGATTCTGGCCTCTAGCGTGGGTTTGCAATAGTTCTGCAATCCATTCCCCCAACAGCCCCATGAACCCGATGCTGCCAGATTCTAGCCTTCAGATAAGGTAAGCATGCTAAAATATTAGCTACAACGCCTTCTTGTTATGAGTACATTGGTTTCTCTAGGTAGGGTTTATTAAGTGTTTAAGGCTTTAGGGCAGGGATCCCTGCAAGGCGCCCCTTCATGGAGCAACATCGGGGTGTCTCAAAATCAGTGTTATGTATTTGGTACCTAAATTCCTCATGTTTGCGTATGTGGACCCTTAGGAATAACGAGTAGTGCTTGTAGTCTTTGAAGTCAGGGGCAAGTGTTGTGACTTACAGCGGGCTCTTGCAACTTCCATTAATGCATGGGTTTCCCTAAGATATCCCTGTGATACCCTATGCTGACCAAAGTGCAGATTCGTGTCATAGAGTCTGGTGGACCACAATTTTTTTAAAAAAAAGACCTTGTAAAGAAATACTGGCAGCCCGTATCCCTGCAAACTAAGCACCGTGAATCCTATAAACCTTGCACTTGAAGCCGTGATGCAGTGTTGCCTCGACCCCCTAGCCCTCAGCAGCACAAACCTCCGCGCCGTACGGATGGTGGTTTCCCAAAATTCAGGGTTCCTTTTTGGGGTTCCAATAATAAGAACTATAGTATATTGGGGTCTATATCGGTGTCCCTTATTTATAGAAATTATCACATAGAGCATCTCTCGGCAAGTTGCTTTCAACTCGGGGCTTTGCGTAGTTCCTGTTGGCTTTGCTTTGGTTTCTGCCAACCCTCAATTCTCACCCAAAGTAAAGAGGAACTCTAATCGCTAAACCTTAAACCGTAGACCTAGAGTCTCTGGGTAGGCTCCACATCCCATGAACCTCGTTGCGCCGCACCTGCTGGTGGAGGCGTTGGGACAACTGGGATATGATGCCATGTGTTTAGGGACTTCACTTGGGCATCCTCGAATATATGGGCTACAGTCTAAACTCCTTCCAGGGGGGTTATATACTCCCTATAATATAGGGAGTATTGCAGGGTTTTTAAGGTGGATACTAGGAGTTAAGATTATGGCTCATGTGTTTAGGGACTTCACCGGGGCATCCTTGAGAGTATCTACAGTTTACTACGTGTTCCACTCCGTGTCCTGGCATTGGACCCCCAATTCTCCCCCAAATCATCTTGTGTCCTCAAGGGATATTCCATCAGGGGTGTGTGACTAGGTATAAACGGTGTAGTTAGGCTCTGGTCCTCGTGGGCTTGTGAGCTTTAGGGTTGATGCTGACGGTTAGGTTTCAGAAGTACATGCGTGTTTGGTCGGACATGAAGCCGAATACAAGGGGGCTCATGAGCCGGGCCCACAAACAGTCACGCCATAGGGGAGCTTCTCAAAACATCTTCTTTACCTATAAGGGGCTCTCTTACGATCACTCTCACTATTACTATCACCATTGCGATTTTCTGCTATGGCAATTAGTTATTGCTATTACTCGTATTCTTTCTTTTACGCTTATTGTTTCTATGATGATAGATCTTCTCAATGTTTTTACTTATGTGCAGGTGAGATCTGCAGGCTTCATCGAGATATGCGGGGACTTGGACGAGGAGCCAGGGTCGATGCCGGAGGGAGGGGGGAGTCTCCAAACTTAAGTTGCTTTTTTTGCTAGAACCCAAAATACACTCCCCCAATACCAGGTGCAGCAGTAGGATGCAGTAGGTTTGGATACAGAAAAAGCACTCAAGTGATAAAAATAGAGTCATCGCGGTCAGGCTACTATACTTCCAATATGACTACTAATTACCATTCCCACGATTATCAGTGTCATTCTGACTGCTGCTACCATAACTCGTACTCTTATGCTGAATTTTATCCGTTATAGTCTTGGGCCACCACCACTTCCGTGTGAGCATCTCTGGCACAGGATTTTTATGTTCTAATTCTTTTTCATGCCAGCGTAGACCGTAAACCCAAACCTGGATCATGGTGGACAAGTGCTCTTATATTTTAGGCCCAATAAGGAATATACATGAAATTGAAACTTCTATTGGCATCCCACCGCTGAGCCATTCAAACCTGCTGGGCCCGGAGGAGAACAGTGCCATCTTGGATAGCCTTGAGACATACTTCGCTGATCGTTTCAAAGCGACGCACATCGAAGGTGCTTCTGGGAATTGCTGGAGAAAAAGTATTGCAGGTAGCCTGGGCGCAAAGACATTAAATAGGAACCCATTCGCGCACGATGTACTATTGAGCTGCTTGGACCCTGAAGGTTTCCTGCCGGTTCATCTTCTAACGAAGGTCAGAAGCATGGGCTGGTATGGGCCAGCCGGCAAACAACTTCAAGCCCCAAACCCCTAAACCCTACCTGAGCTATAGTCTAAACTCCTTAAAGGGGGTTACAGCAGTATATAGAGGATTATCTAGGGGACTACTATAAGCGTTATTGAGTGGGATACTAGGAGTTTGGACTACAGCTCATTTGGGGGCTGAGCTTCAGTTGAGCGGTGCTCTTTGTCCGTTAGTGGTTCCCTACACCGGAAACCCGAAACCCTCAAACTTCATGCTCTGTTAGCTCCAAGAAGCTTATTTTTTAGGTGGACCCCCCACCCAGCGTAATAGTGACTATAAGGGATAATGGTGATCATAGCAGGGTTCTTTATACATTCCTATGATACCACTATTACAGGGTGGTGGGTCTGCCTAACCTACCGTCCTTTTTGGGTTAGGTCCAGGTCCTAAGGATATGGTCCCAGAGAATTGTTCTTGTAGCGAGCTTTTGCACCAGCTGTCATGGGGGATTTTCTTGAAAAAAGGCAGTGCTTGGTGTGCCTTCAGGATACAAAGGAGTCATAGGGGTCTATCTTTACTATCCTGCAGGGCAGGATTTTGGGTTTAGGGTTTAGGTTTAGGGTTTAGCAGTAGGTTTAGAGTCACATTTTTGAAGAGCCTGCCATTACATGGCTTGTGTGGAGGTCATGAGGACTTCTGCGACCGCTACTACCAGGATGCCAGTGCTTGAGCATTGCCACCCTACATTCAAGGGAGATGGAAAATGCAGTATCAAGATTCCGGAGTCTCTGAATTGCCGGCTCGTCTTTTGCGGAGTCTGTGATTTTTTGCTTGTTGTCAGTTTAGTTTTTTTTGGTGTGTTTTTTATTCTGAAATAGCGAAGATACCAATCATTTCCTCATTGGGATACCTTAAGCGCATCTGTTCCATCAAATTGCTCGGAAAGTCTACTGAGTCTACTGCATATGCTGAAGCGCACTCTCACGGTGACCCGTTTTGCAAACTTACTCCTCAACAGTCCTTAGCGCATACCCCTAGCATCTCCTCATAAGCTTGTATGTCCTTTCCGGGTGCCAAGGTTGACTTGGTATTTGAGAAGTTCCCCCCTAAAGTAGATAGAATTCGGGTTGCGAAGGTAAGCTTCGTTTCTACCTGTGGCCCTCTTGAACACTAGATAGACCTGAGGTGATCAGGGAAGGTGCACTGGGCTTCCTATTCCTCAGGTTCTACCTAATTCCTGAACCGGAAAGCCTAAGCCCCAAGCCCCAAACGAACAAGGATCAGGAATTTCCTGTCAACTTGCACTAAACATCCCTTGCGGGGGAGCATCATTCTGCAGCCTTGTTTGCGTAGGAAACCCAAGGCCAGGCTAGCGCTTGCTAATGCTAGGGCTTATAAGGTTTAGGATTTTGTTTTTGGGGTTAAGGGATCGTCTCCATGCTTCCCATCTATGAATGATGAGTTTAGCTAGAATCAAGCGTCAGCTGGCATGACAGGGAGTTTCTATTAACAGCGATCCTCTATGGAATCATTCAATCCCCTAGTCCCTCTGTAGTTCTCATAGGTTCCTGAGATCCCAAAGGACCCCCTTTTTCAGGCCGTTCCGTGCTTGTGGGGAGGATCCTTTGAGGGCATGGTTGCGTGCTCCTCATCTTGTCGTATTTCATGTAATGCAGGGAGGATTTGGGTAATTCCAGCCCCACAAGTAAGACCACCATCATCATCAACATCATAATCATCACTCTCATCATCACTCTCACCATCATCGTCATCATCGTCATCGTCATCGTCGTCAGCAGCAGCATCAGCATCAGCATCAGCATCAGCATCAGCAACATCAGCATCATCATCACCATCATCACCGTCACCATCATCATCAGCATCCTCATCGTCATTGCCAGCGTTTCCGTCGCCGTCACCGTTTCGGTCATCATCACCATCATCGACAACACATTTCTGTGGGCCGGCCGCTTTCAGCATTTCAGCATGTTTTTTGAAGCAGCCCCGCGCCGTTCGTCTAACCAAACCCATGCCTCTGACTGACTGACTGACTGACTGACTGACTGACTAAGCCGTGAGCGATGCGCGATACACGTGTTAAAGACACACGAGTTTCCAAGTACTTAACATAACAATTCGCAACAACGTACCAGGAACCTTATTCCAATGGTTTAGACCGTGTAGCAGTGAATGGTGAAGCATGTGATGCAGGCTGGGGAGGACGTCTTCAAAGGTAGTGGTGGCAGCCTGGATAGCAACTTCGGACTTTTGCGCTCTGGCTGCATAAATCCACTCCCAAAAAACCACACCCCATAACACCCCCCTCAATGTTACCTTCTGATTCCGAATGGACTGGAACGGAACAGTGATTCTCAGAGGGTGCAGGTGGGGTTTATTGGTGAAATGCTTGAGCAGATTTAGGGCTCGGTTCACACCTGGGCGTATGGGTGAGGGCCTCGGATTGAGGAAGTCTGGTTGAGGCCTAGGATTCCGGCCTAGGATGTAGGAATTGGATATGAGGAT